CACTACTACCACCCCATCCACCAAACACACAACCACTGGTGTGGCGCTGTGGGCTAATGCACTGGACTGCAAAGTACACATTACCCAAGCACTTGACCCAAGCCACAGTATTTGCAATGACCTCATATGCATGGGAAAGTTGGATGCTGAGTTGAAGAGAGACTCAACATGCCTTCAGACACACACCTGGCGGTAGATGGCTGTGGGAACAGAGCTCTTTGCCCTACCCCCCACCTCAGAACACCATGTATGGCTCTGGAAGAGACCTTTACAAAGGATCCAGCTTCCACTGTGATAAGTACAACTGAAAGGCAAACCAACCAACCAACCAAATGACAGGGAAGCTCACTGGAAGGAAGAGATGAGATATGTAAACTCTTATGCCTGTTCAGCAAAGCTTGCCTATGTGCCCAGTGAGTTGTGGCCGTGGGGTCAGTGAAGATGAGATGGGTTCGGCTTTTAGACCACTGGCAGGCTGGTGAGCTAAGAGGACAGAGAAGGGTGGCTGTGTGTTCCTTTTGGACAGGCATTTGTTCCTGACACGGGTGAACTGACCGACTCCAGGAAGCTGATGCTGGGTCCTGGGAACACAAGTGAGCATCAGACACAAGGGCCCAGCTCTCGTGGAGCTGACAGTCCAGTGAGGAAGACACACTAAGAACACAAGGGAACATACAAGGGGGCTTCAAAATTATTTCGGAAAAATTCCATTATCTTTTCATTCCGTTTTCATACAACCTTTGTGAAACCCCTTATGTGAACTTGTATATGTAAGTTACCCCTGTGCTAAGGTGCTTGGATGGAAATGGATAGCAAGATGGGCGTTCAGAGGAGAGTCAGAGGGACAAATGTTCAGGAGGATTGCTGACAGAGGCCCAGCCAATGGATGAACTCACAAAGAGGGCCAGGTGGTATGAAGAGAGGCATGAAAGGGGCCGTGATGCCAGGGCCCAGAATCCACCAGACCCTGGGGGAAGCAGTCTAAATGGATGTGATGTGTGCTGAGAAGCCTCTAAAAAGGCACAATCTAATTTGGTCTTCAGGAAACCACGCTGGCTGCTGCGGAGAGAATAGATTACTTTGTTTTTCTGAGGCTTTGCTATTGATAAATGAGGGTTAAGGATACAATCCTCACAGAGTTGCTATAACGACTCAATGACATTTGTGGAATGCTCAGCATTGTGTTTAGTCCAGAAAAAATACTCAGCAACTATCAGTAAATATTGTTTTTGACGATCCTAAGACTATTGGAACAGAAAAACTGTTTGAACAGAACAAGGGAACAAGGTTTAAAATTAGGAAAAGTGTGTGCCAGGGTTGTAGTCTTTCAACATATGTATTCAACCTGTATGCTGAGAAAATAATCAGAGAAAATGGATTATATGAAAAAAAATGTGGTATCAGGATTAGAGGAAGACTCATTAACAACCTGCGATATGCAGATGATACAGCCTTGCTTTCTGAAAGCGAAGAAGACTTAAAATACTTACTGAGGAAGATGAAATAGCATAGCCTTTGGCATGGGTTGCACCTCAATGTAAAGAAAACACAAATCCTCACCACTGGACCAATAAACAATATCCGTATAAACGGAGTAAAGACTGAAGTTGTCAATGACTTCAATTTGCTTGGATCAACCATCACCACTCATGGAAGCAGCAGTCAGGAAATCAAATGATGTATTGCATTAGGCAAATCTACTGCAAAAAACCTCTTTAAAGAATTCAAGAGCAGAGATGTCAGCTTGAGGACTAAGGTGCGCCTGACCCAAGCCATGGTGTTTTCAATAACCTCATATGCATGCGAAAGCTAGACAGTGAATAAGGAAGACCATAGAAGAATTGAGCTTTTGAGTTGTGGTGTTGGAGGAGAATATTTAAAGTGCCATGGGCTTTAAAGAACCAACAGATCTGTGTTGGAAGAAGTGCAGCCAGAATGCTCCTTGGAGGCCAGAATAGCCAAACTTCATCTCTCATACTTCGGACATATTGTCAGGAGGGACCAGTCGCTGGAGAAGGATATTATGTTTGGTGAGGTGGAGGGTCAGAGAAAAAGAGGAAGACCCCCAGCGAGATGGACTGGCAAAGTGGCATCAATGCGCTCAAGTGTGACGACAACTGTGAGGTTGGCCCAGGATTGGGCAGTGTTTCGTTCTGTTTTCCACAGGGTTGCAATGAGTCAGTACTGATTCCATGGCACCCCACAAGAAGAAGATTTTTTCAAAAGCTTCTTGGCTGGCTGAGGTGCGTACAGTCTTCCTGCCCCATCTCCACAGCCTTATCCAGTGTGTGTGCCTCTGGCACGTGCTCCTGCCCAATGCCCCATGGAGCCCACACTGCCTGGTCCCAGCACCTCTGCCCTGACTGTAGAATGACTTACCCCAAGGAACTGTGCCTTTGTTTGGGGGCCCATGAGGTAGTGGGCTGGGAGGGTCAGACAGGGTTCTCTTGTGTCCGGGTGGTGGGGGAGGAGGCCTCTTCTTGGACAGGGTAGAGCTTCCACTAGGGGTCTGGGAGCTTAGAGGGAGTGTTGAAGGTGGGCCAGTTGGACCTGGAAAAGAATCGGATGGATTAGGAAGGTTAATCCCAGTTTGGCAATTACTGCCACGAACCAACTGTGGTACAATACACAGTGACGAGAAAGCACAAAGGCTGATGTGGCCCATCCCAGCAGTCCAGAACTCATCAGTTGGGTTTCTCAGAACTGCTGGCACAAAACCATTTACAACAAAACCAAGAAGGGTATGTGTTGCTTGGACAGGACAGAATGCAGGTCAACCGATGCTAAGGGGTGTTGGTCATCGTCTAGGTACGAAAGGAAAAATACAACACACACATTTTAAACAAGAACTCATTGGGATCACCATAAAACTCTATGGAGGAAGACGGTACTACACAGCCAGCAAAACCAACCGAGGAAGAGTGGTGGCGGGCTGCTCTTTGGAACAAGTATCTATACATTAGGGTTTGTCTTTCCATGAAACATTCTCTTCTAAGTTAAACTTCATACTTAACTCTACTTTTTTGTTTTTTTAATACTACTTTTTTTTTAAATTATGAAGGATCTCATGTAAACAGTTACCTGGAAAAAAAAAATATCCAGAGATTTTTTTTCCCCTTCTAATTCTGAATTATTTGAGAAATCATAAAATTTCTATTCTAAGCCTGGGAAATAGTAATGGATCATTTAAACACTGATTTCTGAACATTAAAAAGAGACTGAACATTTTCCTGAGGTAAGAACCAGAGAGCAAAAACGATATTAAGAGACTGAACTATTCTGCAAGAAACACGACTACGAAAGCTGGTGAACTTCCACTACTGTTTTAAGAGAAATTGGAATTTAAGAGCTGTCATGGGCGTGGTATACCTGTTAGCAGTTTTGTTCATTCAAAGTGACACTGAGATGATTGGTAAAAGTGCCAGGGACTCTGTGCTGGGAATCTGGACAAATCTCTAAAATACTACCAGGTGTGTGGTTTAACTGTGTTCATGGACAAACGTTTCTACAAGCAGTCAAAAAAGGAACAAACCAACAGAAAAAACCCAACGCTGCGAACATGACCACAACAAATGTTTAACACAGGCGAGCAGATACCTGATGATCCAGAAAGACTCCAAAAGAGCTTTCTACACTCTGCATGTTAAAAGAAAAGTTTAATTACTGCTGGCCTCCTCCTGGGCACAGTAAGCTTTGACATTTCCCACCATGCATTTTACACCAGTCAGTGACACTGCTGACTTAAGCCATGGTCTCTCTAAGACAGTCTAGCTTTTTTGGTAGCTAAGACTGATCTCAGCAATAGTGTGCTCTGCTGTAGGGTTGAATGGCCACAGCTCAATCCTTTCTTCTCTCTGGTCTGCTGATGAGCTACCCGTGGACGCCCAAATCAGCACCTCATCATGGCACAGTCACTGCTGCTTCAGAAGCTATTTTTGTCACAGTACAGCGGGTGCCATTGTTACTTGGCGTCTGTACAATGCTTTGCAGTTTTCAAGGTTTGTTCGTACATGCAAGTCCTTCTAGATTTGCCCAGTAAGCCCAGCGGTTGGGGATCACTGCTGTCTTTCTGCAGCCCTGGGAGCTGGGGCTGGGGGTGACTAAAGTCACATACTCAGGAGAGGTGGAGCTGAACCACTGTGTGGGACCTCTGGCATGGGGGACACTGTCGCTCACCACAAAGGGCAACACTTCCTGTACTTGGCACACGGGGAAAGCAAGCACAACAACTGCTCAGTACTAGGAAGTGCAACTTTCCTCTTAGAAATCAATGGAGAATGGAGAATAGACAATGGTGAGATTCTCTAGCCAATTTGTCTTCATCGCCACCTAGGGACTTTGTGATGCCTTGCAGCTGAAAGTTCATCCAATCAGCTTTCAAATCCAGTTAGAACAAATATTGCCAAAGACAAAATGCTAATGGGATTACATCTAAGCAAGTTGATGTATGTGTGATTTCACGTAGGAGACATGGTTCCAGGAGGGACTGAAGGGTTGCTCTGTAATCTACAAACCAAGCAAAACCCAGCCACCGAGCATCATTTCAAAAATGCCTTCATCTCACCTGTTAAAATCTGCAACTACTGATGTCTTCGCTTATTGTCTACATGCCCACTGGACTGTAGGCTGTATTGTTGTTTTGTTGTTTAGTGATGTTGAGTCGATTCCGACCCATAGTGACCCTGTATAGGGTTTCCAAGGAGCAGCTGGTGAGCTTAAACTGCTGGCCTTGCAGTTCAAACGACTTTGCAGTCTGACACATTAGCCCACAGTGCCACACCAGAACTCCTGGTATATTGCATATTATCTGTGGACTAAATGGATGAATGAATGTCTGCCTCTAGGTATTGAAGACTGATACTTAGGGTTAACAGGTCAAAAACCAGGGGGAGGTGAGAGGTGGGAGGGAGGGGCAGTGTTAAATTTGAAGAGAACAGTTGATATCATGATATAATTTCACATTAAAAAACCACACTGACTGTTTGGTAATAGAAGCTACCCAGAAAGGAAGATGCCATAAATCTTGTTGGCATCTCGGTAAGGCATGAATTAAAAAAGGTTCAGAAACATTGTATTTAGACCCCAGAAAACAGAGGCCTTAAAATTCTTTTAGGTTTAAAGAGTTCAGAAAACTTATAAAACTAGTAACCAGTCTTTAGTCACTAACAGAGACACTCTGTGCACAATAAATGTGGCTACTGCCTCGGGGAGTCCTGGGGTGGCCCTGTGGGCTAATGCGTCAGACTGCAAAGTCAACTGAACTGCCAGGTCGGTGGTTCAAGCTCACCAGCTGCGTCTTGGAAACCCTATACAGGGTCGCTATGGGTCGGAATCGATGTGACGGCACTTAACAACAACTGACTCGGGGAAGAGGGAAAAGGGACTGCGACAAGATGGCAAGGTGACAGAAGATACAGGTGGTGATGTGGCCCGCTCACTTTCCTCCCTTTACCTCTGCCAGGGGTCTGTGGAACACAGGACAGAACTCCCCAAACCTCACCATAACTAAAGTTGGCCATTATGTCAAATCAGCTTCTATTTCTTTTCTTAAAAATGAGGCCCAGACATCCACAGCTGCTACAAATAACTTTTGAGTTTAAATAATTAAAAGGTCTTCTAAGGAGACGCTTAACACCTCAGTTCTTCCTGAGGGTTAGGGGTTAGAGTACCAGCTGCACATTCCAGAGGCTCCATCATCCAGAAAACATATTCTCCACTGAGACTGAGAATCCCCCACCCCCCTGCGAATAGTGCTATACAGACACCTACAAGGAAAAGGGATGGGTGGCAAGGTGGCGAAGTGATAGGCACAGCCTCCCCCCACCCCCTTCTTAAGCCACAAAAAGCAACTAATTCTTTATATGGGAAAGATCTGACAAGATTCCTACAGATAGACTGTATGTTACAGATAAGCTGTTTATAACCAACATTACAACACTGCAAACCAATGTCAATTCCAAGGCAATCTAGATAGGAAGACTGCCACCTCTTCAGCTTGTGTATATATGTACATATCCATGAACCTCATTGGGAGGAGCGCCCTAAGTGCCCCATTGTGAAGTGCTTGTCTGCGAACCAAAAGGGCAGTGGTTTGAACCCCCACCCCCCGCCCCCAACAGCTCTGTGGGAGAAAGAGCCTGTGATCTCCTCCTAGGGTCAGAGTCACAGCCTAGGAAGCCCCATGGCACCTTCGAGACTCTGTGAGTCAGGCTCATGCTGGGCACCATGGCTGAGGGTGCAGAGACACAGGCCTGTCCATGGGCATTTCCTGTTCCGGTGCCTCCTCTTCCTTCTCCACCCTATCCTGTGTCCTCTTAGGGGACCCGAGATTCTGTTCTCTTGTCCCCTAGGGCAGTGGTGATTCTCTCTACATGGATGGTCGCCCCAGCCCCATGCTGCCTCCTGGGTTCTTGTTCCTCTCCGCTAATGGACTCCGGGTCGTGACATTTGGACAATCTGCTAGTGTCTGTCCCTGCCTGAGCCTACCTGAGGACAAAGGGCCTCGCAGACACCTCTCCTGAAAGTTGGCTGCCGAATTACTCCCAGCAGGCACCGGAGCCCAGAGAGACCATCCCTGTTCTCAGAGACACTGTGCACCTTGGCAGCCCCCAGGCAGTATTCAGGCCAAAGGCTGCAGCTGCTAATTTCTGAGACCCTCCCAGAAAAGGACATTTCCATGTACCAGAGGCCCTCTGTGGAAAACAGACTCTCAGACTCCAAAGCTGGTTAGAAAAAGTCTCACCGGCTAAGACCTTCAACCACCAGGGCCTTTGCCCACTTAGTCCAGAAAACCTGTCCTGGAAAATCATGTACCTACACTGAAATAGACACATTTATAAAAATCCATTCTTAGAGTCATAATCAGCAGGCTTTCCAAACCTCCCCATCCTCCTCCTCTGTTCTCTAGAGCTGCCTTTTTAGTGAGAGCTCTGTGTCCGACCTCAACGCCAGCGCTTCCCATGCAGATCCGGTAGAAGTCGCCTTGTAAAGCAGCAGTATTAGCATTAGCATCACCTTCATCACTTGTTTAAGGCCAAAAATCTCAGGGCTCAGGTAAGTGAAGCGAGGTGGCCGAAGTCACAGGGAACATGTGACTTAGGCTGGATCTCAGCTGTGACGACTGACCGCTGCTTCTCTGTGAATGGCACTAGGTTCAAACCCACCAACTGTTCCCTGGAAACCCTATACAGGGCCAGTAGGAGCTGGAACCAACTCCACACACTTAACAACAACATAGATAAAAGAGTGATGCAGATGTAAGTGCTTCTCACTCACCTCGGCACAAATGGAACCTCTTCTATTGTACCCCCTTTGCCCCCTGGGGGGATTGCTTTGAGCATTACAAGGCTTAATGGTCTGGGGTATTTTCTACATTATAGGAGAAATATGCTCTCTCCGCCTACCCACACTGTGGCTTGCTTGGGGTGAGAACTGCGCTGTTGTCCTGTGTCCCTGGGGCAGTGTCTGGACAGGCTGGGTACTCGATATAGGTCTATGGAACAAATTCATGTTTATTATGTAAGAAAGACTCCTTTTCAAGACCTCTGTGCATCTGGTTTGCAGTGTAGCAAAATGCCCAAAGGTCTTCCATGCTGAGAGACCAAATCAAATTGTATCTTGGACATTTCAAAAGCAATAAAAGATCTAGAAGATGGTTTTTAAAATTCTCCTGCCAGTTTCTGGGGGTTAAAACCCCCAACAACTATAGAAGTACAGAGTCCTGGTGCAGTACTGCAGAATAAGCACTGGACTGCTAACTGTTAAGGTTGGTGGTTCAAACCCACCAGTTGTCCTGATGAGAAGTACTGGGTTTCGGGATCGGAGGGACCTGGGGTTGGCTCTTATCAACCACTCCTCCCTTCCTTCATGGCAGTCTTTGCACCAAGCACAGCCGATTTCCGTCCCTCCCCATGTGCTGGCAGTCGGTGACTGAGCCATAGTGACTCTGAGTTGGTGTCACAGCCGAGGGCAGAGTTTACAGCCAGGTGGCTCATGCAGGGTGATTCCCAGGCCAGTATCCACCAGGGATCAGGGAACGCAGAAGGCTTTAATACTCCACTCGAATGGCTGCTCTCCCTCGAGGTGAAAGGAACGGGAAATTGTCTAGTATTCTATGTGAAAACAACACTGCTGACAGGAACTGCGAGGGGCCTCAAAAATTTCATGAAAAAATGAAATCAAAGATAGTGGAATGTTTCCATGAACTTTCTGAAGCCCCCCTGAAGTCCCCCAGCGAGCCGGAGTCACTCAGAAGAGTACTGTGGGTAGACAGCAGCCCTCAAGTGCCGAGGACATCTGTGCCTCCCATGCCTTTGAGGTCTCCTCTACTCACTGCTACCTGCCTCACAGGACAATGGAAGGAATGCTGTGTAAAACGCATCTGCAACCAGGTCTGCCCATAACTGCTACCAACTTCTGTCAAATGGTATCGGGCAGGTCAGCTACCTAACACAACATCCCCACCCCATTTCCTGACATTTGTCTTCGTTTCATGACTGACTCCTTACTCTCTATCAGGCTCTGGGGAATTCTCTCTGCTGTTGTTTATACGTTCAACAAACATCTCTGTGCCAGCTCACTCACAGGCCCTGGCATGTGGCAGGAAGACACCTCTGGCTCCCTCTCCAAGTGTGGCGAGGCACCTCTCCTTCACGAGCCTGCAGCAGCGCCCACTACTGTCCCCACAGGCCCATTTCACTGCATTCTTCCCAAAGGCAGGAGCAGTTACTCCACAGTGGGCCATGTCTACAGTACCTGGAGCGTTTGCTGATCAGAACACCTGCAGGGCAGGAGCACCGACCACACGCACACTCACTGAGTTGCCTGATTGATAATAGGCCAGTCCCTTACAGACATGGTTTTCTTTTCTCTAAGCAGTGAGCCAGCAAGTCAATCCTAGCCTCTATTTTTTCATCAAGACCCTGAAATCTGGGAAGATGGGCTAAATGTTAAAGTGAGGTAAGAATAAGACTGGCATTTACAGGGGCAGTGGGAAGAGGGTCACATGGGTGAGGTGAAGGTGAAGTCTAAGAAGTTCCCAGAAGCCCAGGCAACCGTGGTCTGGATACACACAGATTCATCCACCTCAGAAAGCATGCTCTCAGGCTCCACTTGATTAAAGAGGACTATTTCATTTCTTCACCTAAACCAGGGGTGGGAACCTTTTTCTTGCCAAAATTTATAACATCGCTCATGGACCACACACAATTATCAACTTAAAAATTAGCCTGCTATATTTGCTCAAATATTGAATTAACTCCTCCCTAATATGATGGCTGGAACGGTTGCCTCAGCAGGGGGCAGACTAAGTGATTTTGGGGGGACAACCTGTGGCCCACAGGCTGGTGACCTAATGACAAGGGCAGCGTCTTGTGGTACGCTCCAGGATACCAGCTATTCACGAACTCATCCAAGCAGCCCTCACTGAGGCTCAGCGGGCCGGGCGCTGGGCTGCTGCTGGCCCACTCCCCTACTAGGGACGAGACCAGGGCCAGAGCCTGTCTGAAGTGGGAAGTCTGTGTTACAGAAAATGCAGACAGCCCACTTCAAACAGGCATTTATGTGGCATCTAATGGGGGCTCCTGGGCCCCTAACTCTTGGGGGCCACTTAAGGAAGAGATGGAAGTGAACTGTAATTAGCTTGTCAGCTATTCATATTTCTAAAAGCTTAAAACGTTAGTTCTTTTAGGTAGCTTAGATGGGAATCTGCTTTATTCTCCATTCAGAGCACCTGTGAACAAAGCCAACTTGGGTGACTCCCCTCTGTCCTCTGCCCAGGAGGACTGGTTTTAAAGCAGAGGAGTTCGGGTGGCATCACGGTGGGCGCTGTCCAGTGCTACCCTGTGGCACACCTTCCACTGTGCCAGGCTCCACATTTAACGCTTTACACGCATCTCACTTCATTTCTACAACCAAAACTGTGTGTCAGGTACAGGTTGTGACCACTGCTAACTAGCAGGTCTGACACTCCACAAGGGGAGAAAACCACGGTCCTTCTGTAGCTTAAAATGACTGAAAACCAAAGCTCTAATAAGCAGACGAACCAACCACAGCAAGCACTAGTATCTGCTTTCCAGCACCTGCTCTTGTGATGGTTATCATAACCTCACGTTTTCCACCATATCCTTCTCTCTACAGAAAACGCTAAGAACACCAGGGCTCTCTAGGTGCATTCTAGCTGAATGGCTAAAAATAAGCCAAACATGGCAACCCTGGCTGGGGGTGGCGGGGAGAAACTTCTGCAGACGTAGGTTACGGTTCTGTGGTACTCACTGTGCACCGCATGTGTGAAGATGGGCTAGGCAGCAAACTGCGCCTGTGAGAAGGTGTAAGGATGGCGGGGCTAGGAGCGGGAGTAGGAGCCATGAATTCCCTGTGATTGCCACTGGAGCTCTGGGAAGGCATAGGGTGCTTTGCTTAAGCAGCTCTCCTAGAATTCTGAGTAGGCAACAGACATTTCCTGAAAAGATTCCTGA